TTAATTAATATTTTCTCAAAAAATTTGTTTATATTTATTTATTAAAATTTTTAATATAAATATTTATAATTCATTCTTAATTTTCCTTTAGAATAAAAGAATTAGCAAAATGATCATCTGTATGTTTTATAAATATTTACTTAATATAAGTATATATAGTTTAGATAGATAAACGACTTAAATTGCGGCAATTAATTAAAGTATCTGTTATTAGTTTAATTTCTTCATTTGAGATTGTAGAAGCACTTCAATAATTAAAAAAAATTTTTATTTTAAAAATAGTATTATTAATTATTTAAAAATATTATTTTAAATAAATTTAAATAAAAAAATATTTTGAAATAATTACTTTAATTCGATTTCTTTCTTGTTTTATATTTAAGCAAAGTCATCAATTTTAACAATACTAATCTATTCACTTTCTATATTAACATTATTTTATATTTATTAAGAATCTAATTCTGATTCATTGACTTTTTCCTTTTAAACCTTTTTAGTTTAAATTTATTATTTAATAAACTTTTTTTGGATTTTCTATATGTTTAAAAATTACGCATTGACCCATATTTGTAAACTTGCTTCTTTATTTCTTTATTTGTTTTTATTTTATAACTAATTAACTAACTAACTAACTATCTTTAATTAATTATATTTTATCTCTATTTTTTTGATAATCAATTAGTTTATTTGATTATTAAAAAAAGCAATAAATAAATATATCTTAAAAAATTAAAATTTTATTATTTTGTTTATTTACAAAATCATTTTGGCTTCTTATCTAATTTTTGTTATAAAATGAGTATGTTTGATATAGTTATGTTAAATTCTATCCAACTAAAAATAAGTGTTTTTAGAATTTATCAATTTTATAGGATAATTGATATTGGTGAGGTTTATAAATGAAAAATAACCAATAAATAAATATAAATAAATTGTAAAATCTGATATCACAAAAGATTGTTAATATAGGTATTTAAAATGAAAAATATATTATAAAATATTTATGAAAGAGGAAATTAAAGTCACTATTTAACAAAATTTGTAAATTGAAAAAAATAAATAAAAATATACTATAGTGTTAAAAAACTATATTCAATACTTTTTCAAATTTTTGGCAATTTTCAGCCAAAATGAAATTCAGTTGAAAAAAAAAACTATTTTTAAATATAATAAATTATTATTATTTGTGTTGTAGCCTTGAAAAAGGCAGTACTCTAGGTTACAATATATAGAAGATATAAATAGTACTTACTCATTTCATGCCAAAAAAGAAGAATCAAATGGTTACTACTGACAGGTCAAAATAAATAATAAAATTATATATAAAATTGATATGAATGATTAAATTATAATTTCATTAGCTTTAATATTTTTGTGTTAACTACATAACTATAAAAATTAATACATAAATTCATATATTTTTTACAATCAATTTTATTAAATAATTAAAATTTTTAGCAAAAATAATACAATTAATAGAAAAAATATCTATTTTTAACTAAATGTTTTCAAAAAGCTTTATATTAAAATAAGATCAAAATATCTATTGATTCTCATATTTAATATTTTTGAAATAGATTTTATTGGTGTAAATAAATAAATAAATCCAATCCTTTAGATTATTTATTAGCAATATATAATATAAATTAATTATTTTTAGCATTAAATAAAAAATTATTTGCTTTATAAATATATATAAATAAGTTTTTGAAAATATGTTCACTTTTCATAATAAAAGATTAGCTAGCTACTCTTAAATATTAACAAAAAACAAATATTCTAATATGTAATCATGATACTATTAATTAATTAATGCATATGTTTTTGTTTATGAATTCGTTGAGAAAAACTAAAGTCGCTCTTTGTTTCTTCATAATATTTTAATAATTTGATTAATTTGTTAAATTAATAGGTAAAAGAATAATTAGTAAAATAAGGTAGATCTAATGGAATAAATCAGCTAAAATCAATAGCAACACGAAATGGTAAAGTTGAAGCTACTTCAGCATATCCAAAATAGATAGAAAATTAGATAGATGTATGCAGATAAGGGTATTTAAATGCTTCAAAAACAAGAGTTGCTTAGTAAATTGCATTTTTTTAATTTCCATAATTATTTGATGATATTCAACTATCAGAGTATCATTTTTTTAAATTTAAGGCCTCCTATCAATTTAAAGCCATAAATCAAAACATTTTTTAGTATAAGCAGCATTAATCATTATTTATTCTAAAAATCCCAAAAGTTTCTGACATTAATGAACCTACATTGAGTAAAGCCTAAAATATGGTTTACAAAGATATGAAGAGCGAGTTATTGCAAAAAGGATATGATGAATTTAGATTTTTAGGTTAAGGAGCTCAAGGATTA